GAAATGGGGAGAGGGAGGGGGAGGAAGTAGAGGAGGAATGAGGCTTAAGGAATGGAGCAATCTGCAGCAATCAACGGATCAAAAAGTATCTGACCAGGCTGCACATTCCAGCATATATGCTCTATAGAAGCCATCATTTATGTGATAATTTTCAAAATGAAGTATTTTCTGAAGTGCCTGGCATAGGAACTGTGATGCTAGGAGCAGAGCAGAGTGTTGAATTTCCTACAGATGTCAATTCACTGAGAATATTTGATAGGAATGTGTAAGTTTGAGTTAACAAATATTGACATGGTTCAATGTGATGTGTTCTCATTATCGAACTGAATGTCCATATCATTTGATCAACTTACTATGAAATCTCTCTTTGGTGCCCCAAAAAAGAAAGGGACAGATAGGACTTTTCTAAAGACTGCTATGGAAATACCAAGAATAGCAGTATGTCCTTTACATAGATCTTGAATGAGAGGACATATTCGTAAGAAAGCAGCAGAATGGAAACTCAAGAAAGATACTACGGCAGGCCTGTCAGCACAACTCAAAATAAAAAATAAAATCAGTGGACACTAAAATGGACTGAACTCAGTTTTCTTTAAAAACCTACAAAGACAAAAAGAAACTTAGTTTAAAATAAGTTTTAAAATTTGTTTACTAAAAAGCAAACAAGTACATTTGATTTCTGAGTTTAAAAAATTGTGATTTGTGAAAAAAAAAATTGTTTTTTTGTGATGTTACTAACAGAAAAATTGGTGTTTTAGAAGAACAAACAGAAGAAGAAACTGTTTCCATGATCTTGACACCTATTTCCGTTCCTTGCCCTGTCACTTGGTTGCAGCCCATGCTGCTTCCTTGTTCCTTGACTGTAACAACGTGAGGTCACTTCACGGATCATTCCTTCACCTGGAATGCACTGCTCATGGTTTCTGTATTTCCTCCAGGTCTCTGCTCAAATGTTGCTTCCTCAGAGAGTCAGTCATAGACCATACTATGGAAGATTGCTGTTGTTGTTATTAAGTGCTGTTGAGTTGGTTCCTACCAATAGCAACCCCTTATAGTGTTTCTGATGAGTGGCTAGTGGGTTTAAACTGCTAACCTTGTGGTTCTAACTGACCTTGTGGTCCAGTGCACTATCCTGCAGTGCCACACCAGGACTCAAGCTCATCTTTTTCTATGCCTTTATTCTGTTGCATAAGGAGCCCTGGTGACACAGTTATGAAAGCAATCAGAAGGTTGGTGGTTCTAACCCATTAGCTACTCCATGGAAGAAAGATGTGGCAATCTGCTTCTGTAAAGGTTTACAGTCTTGGAAACTCTACGGGGCAGTTCTACTCTGCCCTGATGACAGTGGATATGCTATTCTATTGCATGCAAATTACCTATTGTCTGACAAATCATATAGTTTTCTTATTATCTTTCTCCTCTCTGTTGGAATGTAATTTAAGGAATATGAAAATTTCTTCTTTTTCCTTAAGAATAATACTCTACTAATGGAGTTCTTCTGAAACAGTCTTTTTCAAAATCTAGCAGAGCATTTGCTTAGAAAGTCTGTATCTCTGTCTTTTACTAATCAGTGTGAAATTATATAACTATTATTTTCTTTACAGCATTAAATATATTTTCAGACTCAGACTCACATAGTGATTTATTATAGTATTATAAACTATATTTTTAACATTTCTACCATATAGTACTCCTCACTCACCTGTCAGTTTGTCATACTGGGGTGGCTTGTGTGTTGCTGTGATGCTAGAAGATATGAAACTGGTATTTTAAACATCAGCAGGGTTGCACATAGTGGACAAGTTTCAGCGGAGCTTCCAAACTAAGACAGACCAGGAAGAAGGAGAGGTCAACTACTTCTGAATGCTTAGCCACAGAAAACCTTATGAATAGGAGTGGAACACTACTATTGAATACTGAAATATTCTGAATAGCATAGGAATTTTATCAGATATAGTGCTATAAGATGAGTCCCTCAGGTTGGAAGGCACTCAAAATATGACTGGGGAAGAGCTGCCCCCTCAAAGTACAGCTGACTATGAAGATGCAAAAGGAATAAAGCTTTGGAGACATTCAGTTGCTGATGGGGTACAATTTAAAATGAGGAGAAGCAGTTTCAAATAACTATTAATAAACAGAACATGGAATGTAAGAAGTATGAATGTAGGAAAGTTGGAAGTTGTCAAAAAAGAAATAGACTGAAATATCCTAGGCATTAGTGAGCTGAAATGGACTAGTAGTGGCCATTTTGATTTGGACAATCATATGGTTTACTATACCAGGAATGAAAAACTGAAGAAAACATCACATTCATGATAAAAAAAAAAAAAGAGCATTTCAATATCTATCTTAAAGTACAAAACAGTCTGTAATAAGATGTAATCTATCTACAAGGTGTGCACCAGGGTTGTATTCTTTCACCAAGGTTATTCAATCTGTATGCTGAACAGATAATTCAAGAAACTGAATTATGAAGAAGAATATGGCATAGGGAAATGAGGACAATTCATCAACAACCTGCAATATGTAGATGATACAACCTTGCTTGCTGAACGTGAAGAGGACTAAAATACTTATTGATGAAGATCAAAGACCATAGCCTTCAATATGGGTTACAACTCAATGTAAAGTAACAAAAAAGTCCTTAACATTGGACTAATAAATAACACCATGATAAATGGAGAAATGATTGAAGTTGTCAAAAATTTCATTTTGCTTAGATCTACAATCAACACTCATGGAAGTAGCAGTCAAGAAACCAAACAATGTATTGCAGTAGGGCAAATCTGCTACATGAGACCTCTTTAAAGCGTTGAAAAGCAAAAATGTCAGTTTGAGACTAAGGTGCACCTGACCCAAGACATGGTGTATTCAATAGCACCCTTTGCATATAAAAATTGAATAGTGAATAATGAAAACCATAGAAGAATTGATGCATGCAAGTTATGGTGCTGGAGAAGAATATTTAAAGTATCATGGGCTGCCAGAAATATAAACAAATCTGTCTTTGAAGAAGTATAGCCAGAATGTTCCTTAGAAGCCTCCAACCTGAATTGCTCATCTTTTATCACTGTATCTGATAATATTCCTGTGCTATTCATATATTTTGATATTCAACAGTAGTGTTCCACTGTTATTCATAAGGTTTTCTGTGGCTAAATATTCAGAAGTAGTTGGCCTCTCCTTCTTTCTAGTCTGTCTTAGTCTGGAAGCTCAGCTGAAACCCCTCCATCATGCTCTTTGGAAATCAGGATGGCAAAACTTCATCTCTCGGACTTTGGAAATATTAACAGGAGGGAGCAATCTCTGCAGAAGGACATCATATTTGATAAAGTGTAGGGTCAGCATTTTACCAAGAAAAAGATTCTCAATGAAATGTACTGACACTGTGGCAGCAGAAATAACCTCAATTTAACAATGATTGTGAGGACGGCGCAGGACTGAGCATTGTTTCCTTCTGTGCCTAGGGTGGCTAGGAATTGGAAGTGACTAGATGAAATTCAACAACAATAATCATATAATCCTGATGTGGTAGTGTAGAATAAGCACTGGACTGCTAACCACAGGTTGTCAGTTCAAACCCACCAGCCACTCCTTGGAAATCTTACACAGGGTCGCGATGAGTCAGAACCTACTGGACAGCACTTAACAGAAACAATAACAGCCATATAGTTTGCCTGTTTTAATTATTATTCATGCTCACTATTCAAAACATGCACACATTTTTCATAACATTCCTCTGACAAGAGAGTATGTGCTTTCTCTTAAATAAAATTGTTTCTATATTAAAAGCAATATGTTATCCTGCAAAATTTGAATATGTCACAAGTCATGAACACAAAGCACAGTATTAGTTGTGCTCATAAAATATTTTACAGTGTATCCTTGGATCTTATTGGTCATCTTTGTTTTCCATACTGCAATATAATGCTTTAGGAAGCAGTGTTGTTCTATTAAGTCAGTTCTGACTCATAGCAACCCTGCATAAGGCTTCTGAGGAGCAGCTGGTGTTTGAACTTCCAACCTTGTGGTAAGCAGTCCAGTACTTACAGTGCCACACCAATACTCTGGGAAGCTGTGTATGAGTCCAAAATCAGAGGCAGTTGACTTAGGTAAAGAGAGGAGCCTGAAAGAGACGTGTTAGGTCTGTCCTAAGTCTTGACTTAAGTCTGGAAGCCATGTTGAATTTTTAAGCTGCCCTTTCTGACAGCTGATTCTTTAACCTATGTGATGACCTAAACTCAATATCCTAAGGGAACAGTTTTCTTCTTTTCTCTGACAGATGCAGGATGTGATCAGCTATTCCCCGGGGGTCCTTCCTCTATGGTAAACAGATACAGGATATGATAGCTTTTTCCTGAAGGATCTTGATGCAACATACAACATTATTGATAAATCTTCTATGCAGTAGACCCCCAGGAAAAAAACATGCTTGAGAAAGCAGTCTTATTAATAGGTTCCCAGGAAAACCTTTCATGCCATTGGCTCTGTAACCATCCTGTAACTAACCAAAGACACTTACAGTTATGTGTCGCTAATCAAACACAGTAGAGTTTTGAGGTGGTGCTACAGGATCAGCACCGGACTGCTAACCACAAGGTGGATGGTTCAAACCTACTAACTGCTCTTCAGAAACCCTATACAGGGTCTCTTAACAACAAGCAATCATGTAATCCCATGTTATCCACTAGTCCATGCTAAATATCTCTCAGCCAGTCATGATTTTGTAACTTATTTTTGGCCAGTGGAGTGACCATCTTTACTCTATGAATTTGGATGTCTTCTCTAGACTTTCAATAAATCTCTTAACTTTGCTCTTCCAGAGCGTGAGTCTTTAATCTAGGATAGCAATGAACATTTCTTATCCACTTTATATTTCTCTAATAGTTTGCACGTAGCAAGGGCTGTATCATATTTTGGTACATTTATGGAATTTAGGCCGTTGTACAATGATATGTATCCCAACCCTTCTTTAGAGGGAAATAAAGAACTTTACTTACATTTTGAGCCTGAAGAAGAGGACCCACTGACAATAGATCTTGATCCTCCTTTCATGGAAAAGACTCCTTTCCCTCTGCGAGTTGTTGCCACAGTGACTCTGGGGCGCTTCAGTGGAATTACAGCTCGCGGAGGTGGAGGCACACGTCCATGGTAATCAAATAACCTTCACAAAACACAAATGGTGCTGAGAGTTGGTATGAAGCCAGGGTTTCTTTCAAATGTGTGAGTTCATTAAGAGAATGGTCTGACAGAAAATTTCAATAAATGTTTATCTTTCTTCTTGTTTTCTTATATTCAGACACAGGTATTTTATTCACAGATTCACCTTTCAATAAAGAAGCAGGATGCTTACATAACCTACTTTTTCTGGAGACTAGAACATAACCTCCAACATGAACTCATTTATGTGGTAGGAATGGAAAAGGAACTTTGCTCCAATTCTACCATGCAATGCACTGAAATCATGCTGGATTTTATTCCCAAGTATATTTCTTTGCTTAGATAAAGATTTGTCCTTCTTAGGAATAGAAACTTTCTTCTTACATGTCGATACTTATTAGCATACTGGTTGGGAAAAAGGAAGGTGCCATACAGAATCAGGAACAAAACAAAGGTAATTATTGTCCAATCAGAAAACTGAGTTCAAAAGGAAACAAGATAATAAACAAAGCTTAAAGAACACAACAGTGAGAAACAAACCACTGGCACCCTATCTTTCTCAAGGACTTTTCAATTAACCAAAGGCTCCTCTGAAGGTAGACAAAGGATACTGGGTTTGAATGACATGACACTAGCTCAAGAACAAACCTTGTTGACTGAAATACTGGTGGGAAGTATTTACCAGGATATCTTTTTATTATTCAGACCAATTGCAAGGTATGGATATTGAAACTAGAGGTATTTGTATAATTGCCTTTTTTTTTTTTTTTAATATTTTATTTTTTTAAAAA